CAGGAGGCCGGGGCCAGACTCTTTCCAGTGGTGCCCAGTGACAGGACAAGGGGCAACGGGCACAAACTGAGGCACAGGAAGTTCCGTCTGAAGATGAGGAAGAACTTCTTCCCTCTGAGGGTGACGGAGCCCTGGCCCAGGCTGCCCAGGGAGGCTGTGGAGTCTCCTTCTCTGGAGATATTCCAGCCCCGCCTGGACAAGGTCCTGTGCCCCCTGCTCTGGGTGACCCTGCTTGGGCAGGGGGCTGGGCTGGGGGACCCCCAGAGGGCCCTGCCAACCCCTACTATTCTGTGATTCTGTGATTCTTTGCGGGCACTTGGGTAGCCGTTAGTCAGAAAGGGAGTAGGAGTTTCGAGGATGTAAATATGGAAATCTCTCTCTTAATCAGAAGTTACTAAGTACCCAGGCTAACTGTAAATGCCATGGAGACGAAAAACATGAGTTTTAGGCATGTCAGAAGGAAAATAACATTGCCTGTTTTGTGAAGAGTATCTGTCAGATTGATGACAAAAGTAACTGATGAAATTAGGTTGCACCCGCTTTCTTTAGCATTTATTATGTGTTATAAATTCTATCAGAAAATGTTGTAAGAGAAGTGTGTTTTTAAGGGTAACGTTATTAATAGATCTGAGCAGGTAGGAGAAAAGTTATGTGTTTGTAGAGGTGGAGGGGGTTATTTTAGAGGGTGGGTGGTCCTGCCTGTTAAATCCTGGCACACAAACCACGGGTGATGCCTGTATGGGTCTGGGGATGTCCTTATTAAATACCTTTCTGTTGCAGATGTGATGGATGATCTCTACAACTACATAAACCCTCACAACGGGAAACACTCACCAATGATCTCCAAAGAAACTCTAGACATAGTTTTGGCCAACAAAGATGTACGTAACATTATTTTCACTTCCAATTTCTAAAAACTCAATATACTAGTTCAGATAATTTATTTTTCTAATTTTTAAGGAAGCTCTGTCTGGTTTATGACAAAAAGCCAACGCAGAAACCAGTGCAGGTGACAACTGCTCTGTTCTGGAGAGTTTAAAAGAGAGGATATAGGAATTTCCTTCATGTAAGCAAGTTTCTGTAGTAGAATCTGATTTCTTGGGTTTCCTCATAGTCATGATCAGCACAACTAATTAATTTGAGGAAAAAGGACCTTTTGATGTAGCAATCTGCTTTGTGTGCGCAGAAGGGAGAGGTGAGGTCTGGCTTCTGATTTCAAGTCGTTCCAGGTCTGTGTCTTTATGGGGAAGTCACGTTTAAATTTTGATTCTATCTTGTGTTTCCTAGCGTCTCGTTAGAGACTTCAGTAAAACGTAGCCAGCAATTGTGCATTGTGCCTGGGAAAAATTGTGCATTGGTTGTTTCAGGCTAAGTGCTCTTTCCTAATTTGTTCCCTCTGACAAGGTATCGATTTCACCAGACCTGTGAGGCCAGAACTGCCAAACAACGATAGCATTGTTACACCGAAATGTGAGGCACAAAAAATCTGATTGTAAATTTAATTGTTCCCTCTATTATTTCCTCTCAGCGCCTGAATTCTGCCATTATCTATGACAGAGACTTCTCCTACAACTATTTCGGTTTTAAGGTAAAAAGCACATTGCTCATGATAATGAAGATTGCTATTTTGACGTTGTTCTGGGGTTGAGCCTTGTGGGAAGGATGGGAATACATGCAGAATCATCTAGATTTGGGCCAGCAGGGCACTGGAGTAGGTGGGACATTAGTGGGTTTGTGAAAGACAAAGAGCACCTGCACAAAGAGGTTGCCTGACTGGGTGAATCGTGTACTTTCTTCTTGGCTGCGTTGTGTACCCTTGGCTGCTTCAATATTTTAACTGTGGGGCTCTGGCTGTTTCGCAGCGGATAGCGCTGAACGTTGGTGAAAGCTCTCCAGCTCCTGCCGTTCCTCAAGGAAATAACCTGATTCTTAATAAACCAAAAAAGGGATTTTTGGTTTTCCCCGTTGTTTTGTGTAGCAGTTGTTCTCAGCGTGTCATCCCACGCCTTTGTCGTCTTCCACGCTGCTGGAACATCTCCCCCACAACCAGTCCGGTCTGCTGTGCCCCCACCATCTGCTCCTCCTGCTCCCCTCATAACACGCTGTTCTTCGCTGAGCTGTTTCAGGGCATGACGCAGTGGGCTCTCCGGAGGGTTGGCTGGAGAGCATTTAGCTTGTCCGTGGCACCGGGTGCTTCAGATGGTTCTTGTGAATCTCTGCAAGAACTGCGGGTCTTTGCCTTGAGTTTCCATCACCACACGTGATGGTGAGGGGACTGGAGCATCTCCCCTCCGAGGAGAGGCTGAGGGAGCTGGGCTTGTTCAGCCTGGAGAAGAGAAGGCTGCGAGGGGACCTTCGAAATGCCTACAAATATCTGCAGGGTGGGGGTCAGGAGGATGGGGCCAAGCTCTTTCCAGTGGT